AAAAAGATTATGTTGCAACATCTTAAGGTTTCTCGATTTAACCAAAAAGGTCCCTATTTTCCGTTTCAATTAATACAACGGATTGCGATTTTCCTTCCATTATGGTGCAACCTTCATCAATAAGTGCCTTGACAAGGCTCCTTTTGACCACCTCATACTACGAATTCAAGTATTTTTTTCTGTGTTTTCAATAGGAATTCAAGTCTTTTTTCTATTTTTTGAACTCTAATTATTTATTTTCTGGTGTTTTGGGTGCTATTCTTGGTCAATCATCCTGCCCGAACTAGGCGGCATGAGCACGAAAGAGGGTCAATTGCAGACACCTTATTTTTGGCTAAGGGAATTCTACGTGCCCAAACCCTCTTGGGATCCAAACCTATTAAACAACTTTTACAAGTCATCCCATATCCCCTCAAGCCTAATGCACACGAAAAATTATCTTGTACTCTAGTCTAACACCCAAACTCTAGTCTAACACCCAAAAACTTTGAAACCAACCTTTTAGAGTCCAAACACTATAACCCATCTAGGCTTCATTCAAACTGCGTCAAATTTAATTCTACATTCTATATGAGATAATACTTTTTCTAATGGTCCAAGAATCACCCATACACTCTGTCCGACATTTCATAAGAAAATCCAAAAAAAGTTTGACCCTTTTAGAGCTTGATGTTTAGCTTGAACCATAGGCAATACAATAGATTGCCATACGTTCCACAGTGCCAAGAGTCGTCAATTCCTAACCAATTCTATTCAAGAATTTAAAAACTTTTCTTCAAATGATTTTATTTCAAGTAATCATAAAGAACCAAAGAAGACATTGGCTAGTAGTTCCTTGGTCTGATCCAGACCCCACTCTGGGTGCCGGCCCTATGGGCCTAGCTTAGTAAGTTCTTTGTGTTTTCATTCGTCTTACTTGTTTCACTCTATGTTCATTTAAACTGCATGATTTCAAACTTAACTTCATTTGAACAATCCTGTTCCTTTAGTTTAATCCTTGACGAACTCTAGTCAACTCAACAAGTGGTTCATAAGAACCATACTTTGACTTTCAAAAACCAAGAATCTACTCCGGCGAGGAACATCTCGAATCCCTTTTTGAGTGGTAAATACTTAGCAATATGTATTGTTGCCTTGTAATTACAATATGCAGTCACCAGTTGTTCATGTGTTTCACATAAGAACCATCATTTAGTAGATTTCTACATTCCATGAAGCCTAGCTGTCATCATTATAGAATAGATGTTGTACCTTGATAAAATTATAATTAGTGGTACCCTTCAAGTATCTTGCTGTAATTCTCATGATTTTTCTTACTGGTAAATCTACCCAATGTTGCATACACATGCCTTTTGCAATTCATCACAGACAACAAAACTTTTTATGGTTCTCAAATACTTTGAACTATAGGATAACCTTTTAAGCCAGTTTGGTAAGATGCATTTGAGGTTTCAATATTTCAACTATATATATTGTAATGATCACATTTTAGCTTTAAGTTGCATTGCTAAGAGCACAATTCTCTATCGTGTTACATTTGAAACCAAAATTGCTGATCTCCCCTTTGAACTTCTTGTACCACTAGTATGTTTAAGGCCACATTAAAAGATTTCTCAAGTTTGGCCTTCTTCTTCTTCCCCTTCCCCTTCCTCCATATAGCCTTCAGCCTGATCTATATATTTCTTCTTGTAAATCTTTATTGAGTAAGGCTGTCTTTTTATTGGCTTGATTTATATTTAGAATATAAATTAATGCTATACCATCATCACTCTAATAAATGTGATTTTTGTCGCAATCAAGGAGGTCTAGAAAGAGCCAATTCCTTCTTTCTGTTTATGCCTCTTTGCTACAGGCCTTACTTTATACTTATCTAACCTTACATTAGCCTTAAATTTCTCATTTAAGATCCACATAGATCTATAGTCTTAGTGTTTGGAGGTAAGTTAACCAATTCCCAAGTGTTATTTTCCTTAATGGGTTGAGTTTCATTATCCCATGTTTGGTGGTGAAGAAGTGGCAGGGCCAGTCAATAATTTTAAAGGTTGTAATTGGCAATTAAAGTTGAACATGTCACGTCCTAAATCCTTTTCAACTCATTGTCTTTTGATCCTCAAGTCTAGTTCAAAAGACATAACGTGTTCATTTATAACCTTTTCCCTAGAGTTTTCATCTTTTTTATAACACTGAATCATTTGTAAGTGATTTGTCATTTTTCACTGTTTAATATTCAAAACACTCAGTAATGCCATCTATTTGTTGTATTCGATTCCAAATCAAGAAACCTACAAACCTTATAATTGGGTTTTACACTTTTGTAGTACCTTATGAGAGCATATTTAGCCCCTTTGAGCCAATTTTATATCATTTGTTTGATGGCTCCATTACATAGGCAATGCACCCACATGCTTGAGTTACGATCCCTTGCCTTCGACAACTTGTATGGTATTTGAACATTATGTCTGAAGAACTTTAAGAGCAACCAGTAAGTGGAGCTTCTACCCAAAAAATTGAAGTAAGATTTCAGCTAACGAGCATCACATTTATCATTTCTATGAAAATCATATTCTTCCTCACATCGGCGCCATTTTATTGGGGAGATATGATATAATCACTTGATGTACAATTACATCAGTTTCAATGAGTAAACTACTTTGATAAGTATTCACCACCCCTATCAGTTCTTACAACTTTGATTTTCTTAATTGTTTTGAACTTCAACTAATGAGTCACAAATATATGATTGTTCTTCAATATTGGAGATATTGAATCAACTCTCTTTCTCTTTTTCTAATGGTAACTTGAATCTTTTCATTAACTCTCCTGAATGTACAAGTCTGCAAAATTTGTTCACATACAAAAAAACAATAAAACATTAAATTGAATCTAAAGTGGAAATTATCAAAACTGGGTGGCTAGATGCCTAGACCCTCCTTTGGCCATCACCTCAGCTTCCATATTAGCATCATGTTAACAGTGGGTAAGCTGTATCTCCACTATAACTCTAATGTCCTTGGTTTTTGCCATAATCGAGGTTAGTCTACTGGGTGACATAGCTTCACCTTTAAACAATTTGAAATCATTTGCTAAGTCACTTTCAACTACTTGGACTCCTCCAATGTGAAGCATTTGCAGCAAGGTGAGCCGTAACAATGCCACAAAGACCCGAGAAGGTGAGCAACACCTTCCCTCTAGGGTATCTTATTAGAACAATTGTTTCATGCGGGCTGGATCACATTTCTACAATATATAGTACAAAGATATGAAGCATCCATCTAAAAGATGGATGCAAATAGATGGTCCATCTAAAAACAATTGTAACTAATGGTCCAAATGTTTTCTTAACATAATTATTATTTCTAGTTTATTTATTTATTTATTTATTTTTTATTTTTTCATATTCATGATCTCCATGTAAAAATTATACATACTCTAAAAATTAGGATTAAATTATATTAAAAATATATATTTATTGCTAAGCCCGCATTTCTACAATATGCGAGCTGGTCGCATGCTAACTGCGCCCATCTTATTAAATCCTTGACGATAGTGTTTTCGGATTCACTGGGGGGTGTCTATGAAAGTTGAGTTTAAAGCGCCCATAAAGGGAGTGGACCCTCATGCAACATTACTTTGTCTGCAAGTGTTCAATATTGCAACTTCCTTGAAGTTGTTAATGATATGTTGCCTCGAAAAACCCCAGACTCCTTAGAAATAATGCCCACTATACTACCATAGTTAGGATGTTTGCCTTGAGGTTTTATTCTTTTTGTCCATTACTTCACCTTGAGAAGATCTCTAGTTCCTTTGACCTACTTAGTATTATCGATTTAAATTTGTACGAAAGAAAATCAAGAACATTGCTAAACACTGCTGGTTTGATTGAAATTAAAAAAGGAAGATAACCAGCCTAACTTCAACGGTTCTGCGAAATTCAATAAAATTCATGGAAGCAATGTTTCTATCAAAATAATTCAACTCAAAATGAAAAATATAAATGGAACCCCCATTTTTAATAAAAAACCTTATTTAGAACCTAACAATTATGATAGAATTAGTAGTGGTAACTAAAATAAAGTTAGATATATTTTTTACCTTTAATAAGAACAAGTAATTACATAAATATCTAACTACTTTTCCAAATAACTTGTAAAATTCTAAAAATCTAACTAGATCCTAGAAACCCAAAAAAATATTAAAAAATGACCTTAGAAAATCACAAAATCTAATAAAATTCTCAAATAAGTGGCATCATATCAATCGGTCTGAGCTTGAGAGCATAGGAGAGAGGCATTGCCTCAATAATTCGTGCAATGGATTGTGGGAGTACATATGAGCCAACTAATTGCATGGCTCAGGTCTAAATTTCCACAAAGAACACTTAATGAATAGGCGGTTGGAATGGTGATGTTATTTTTACTTATGCTGGCCCTATAGAAGTTGCTGCTGCAAATGATGCTGAAAATCATGCCGAGTTACTTGCTCTTTTTCATAGTTTGAAGGTTTTTATTAATAGAAATTTGGGTGGTTGCTGTGTTATTGAATATGATTCGATGAATGTTATAAGATAGTGAAATAAAGAGCGACGACTTTCTTGAGAGCTCAAAGCGGTAATTCATGACCATTTCTTTCATTCATGTTTATCTGGAGGCAAATACTTTGACCGATTCATTGGCTAATGGTGGAGCGTTGCTTACCTCGTTTATAGTTTCTAATGATGTAATCTCTTTCATGTAATTCTTTCATCAATAAAATAAAGTTTCTAATGATGTAATCTATTTTATGTAATTTTTCCATCAATAAAATAAGTTAACATTTGTCCAAAAAAAAAGAAAAGAATAGGTGGTTGAAGTCTCCCATTTGTTACACACATGAAACATACATTTGTTATTATAAAGCATCTCTTTCTTAGGTTGTCTACGGTGGGAAGTTTGCCATGACAATATCTAAGCAAAAGCCTAAACTTTATGCGGTATAGGAAGGATCCACACCATAGGCAGGACTTGATCAAAGGTCTTGTGCCTATTAGCATATAACAGGTGAGAGAGAGTCATTTAATCTCACCCAAATATGTGTGTGTGAGAGAGAGACACAGTCATTTAATCTCACCCAGTGTTTCAATTTTCAAAAAATATCGTCATAAAATGAACACCACGAGATGTATGTAGAGCTGCTATGATTCTCCCTTTAATCTAGCATGCCTTTTTACTAGCTCAAAATCCAGTCCCAATCATTGGTAGTTCCTTCCCGTTCCATCTAAATCCACCATCAAAACAAATTCATGCAGCTAAATCTCTCTCTCTCCAACATTACACTTCTTGAAATTGCTTTGGCTCTGCACATGGCTCCTACTTTTTTCCTCTCTTCTTTGCACTCACATCTTTTTTTACAGCTTTGACACTCTTACTAGACTTCATTTCAACAGCACTAGCTTGTTCCATTCTGGTCCTCCGAATGGTTTTCTTGGGTTGATATTCTTCGAAAGCAGGGCTGGTTATGGTTTTCCCTTTTGCAGAAGGCTTGGGACGCCCTCTCTTTGTAGCTTTCTCTTTCTTAAGCTCAGTTTCAGTGTCTCTCTCTTCCCCACTCTCCGAATTATTGTCCTCATCATCCTCATTTACTTTCTTTGGATTTGTAGTTTTCTTTCTCACCTTCTCAGCTGCAGCTCCACTTAGCTTTTGCAACTCTGGCACGAATGCTGATGTCTGTTTTCAAAATAATAAGAACATAAGATTGATAATCTTGAGAACCATAACACAGCTCGAAAACATAACACAGCTTGAAAATATAACACAGCTTGAAATTTTTTAAATTCATCTGTGAGCCCCCTGAATAAAAAGGAAGCATATTCAAAGAAAACCACAGGTGAAAAATTTAAATGGACCACGATTGCTATGGGAAACATTTATTTCTGTGCTTTAATGAACTTCAGGTGAACTTGCAAACAACTTTTAAGACAGCAAGAGCCAAAAAGAAAAAAACTTTTAACACATCCAAATATGCCAAAGCAACATTAAGGCCTTAAATTTTAATCGCTATTGTAAATAAATATAATAAACTTGATACATCAAATGCGTTGCAAGAAGAAAAAACTTAACACATCCCAATCGCCTGTTGATTGTTGATCAATAAATTATCGTACTCCATAGGAAAGCCACAAAGACAGCCAACCAAATGTTCCAAAGTGACATCAATTCATCTGATTTAAATATCTAATGTAATTAATATGAACTCAACACATCAAAATGGCCAGTTGATAGTTGGATGCAGTATTCATATTTCTGAGAAATCATGAGGGAAAGCAAATAAATTGGCACACTCTGAATACTGGCTAAAGAATTGAATCTAAGAAGAACGTACTAAGTAGGAAAACTGTTATGTTCATGAATTACAAGAAATTGTATCAATGATTGTAAAAGACATACCCTGCCGCCTGCAGTGATGAACTCAATTCTCTTCCCTGTGATCAGAATGAAAATTTCAGATAATTTTTATCTGATTTTCTACATATGAATGGGATTAAAAGAATAGAACTCCCTATCACATCCAACATGACCATATCAATAATCACTAAAATACAACATCATTGGCGGACCAATTACGTTTATTCTGTTTAAGCAGATGAAAAGCTTTTGAGAAATGTTATGTGAGATGCTGATACTCTTATGTTTATTTTGTTTATATTTTTCTCTCTTTGGTTTTTAACGGACAAATGTCAACAATGAATCTGTGCAAAAAACTGCGAAACACAACAACCAGAATATAAAACTTGTGACTCTATCCAATTATTCCTTATTCTGGGAATACAAAGAAAGAGATAAGGATCTTTCAAATGAAATGACTAATTCATTCCTAATAAGAACGGTGGAAAGTCAAGAGCCAAACCATCCACAAATGCCTTGCCGGGTTTCTTTTCACGATAATGAAATAGCCAATTTTTAGGAAACTGACTACTGTCGGCTCCAACTTCCAGTGCTTTATGAATAACCTGTCAAATGAATGAAGGGGTTGTCAAAATGGACATCTAAGACATCTTACCATTCAATTTCCCAGGCTTTTTGCCCCATCGAAAATGAAATATCCAATTAGCTGGGAAACAACTGCAATCCGCATCAACTTGAACTGCGTACTTCACTACCTACAGTTGCATTTCTTGGCTATTTCTATAACCAATTGAGAATGTAAAAATACCAGGAAAAGCATTTACAAAAGAAAAAGTACAAATCTTTTGCAAATGTGAATTTACCTCATTGATGCTCTTATGCAATGTCACACAACTTTCCTTGGACAAACTTGTAGCATGTTGAAGAGGATGAATTCTTGCCTGGATGGGGAATCCATGAAAAGTGATGAAATACAAATGTTTTGCCACTAAGTGAGAAGCCATAAAGAAAAGCATGGATCAAGAATTTCCAATCAAGTGATTAATATAACTGGCAGTTTCAAGTTAAATTCCAGCCACCTAAATAATTTTAAGGGAACTATAAAAACAACCACAAAAATATTAATTTCAAAAAAGGGCTGTCACACTGCTTGGACATATCTTAGATCGACATGCCAACCATTAGCGTACGATATTTTCTTTTCACTAAGAAACTACCAATGTTCTGTATGATTTGGAAAAAAGGGGTAAAGCAACGAATTCAATGCTAATTCCAAGGATTTTTACCTCATTTGCTGTCATTTCTTAGTTCATAAGATGCTAATGACTTGTAGGAACTGACAGTTATTTTCATTGAGTTGCATAAGTAGGGTACATCCTTTTGTGGTTCACAAAGTTGCCCAAATAGAACATCACATATGTGCATATTATATTTACAACAATGACACAGATAGCCTCATTTTGGCTAATAATAAGAATCACGGAAGAGAAATATAAATAAGAAATTAAGGTCATAATAATACACAAGTAAAATAAGTTTTGTGGAACAAAGACCAAAAGTCTGTATCTCCAAACAACTTGAAATAGGGGTTCCACCTGTAAAACCAGTATGATGCACATGGAAAATGAAAATGAAAATTTAAGAGAATAAAATAGGGATAGTTTACTTGATAGAGCACTTCATCTGCGACCCAATTGCCGATGCCAGAAATATAACTCTGCATAACACAAGTAGTTTGGAATAAATGAAAAATAATGCTCATACATTCCATTACCCTCTACTGAGGATGCAATATATTGCCCGAAAAGATAAGAAATTATTGTATACTGGATATTTTCTTCTGTAAATATAATAATTTAGTCAGCATGACACATACATATTTGCCATGAAAATCCTACCAATTTGACTGTTCTATAATTGTATTATATGATGACAATGTTTTTTGAGAAAGTTAACCTGTAATAAATAATTTGAAAGAGTACAACGATCCAAAAATATAGGCTATCCACAGGGCAGCAGAAGCTCTATATACAAAAAAACCCCTTCCTAATTGGGGGTGTGAGAGTAAAATCAAGAATCCATTTTTACATAGATACATAGATGAAGTAGCAAAGTGACCACCAAAAAAACCGAGCCAAAATATAGGTATTAAGGGCAATCCTCGATTGCCACCTCCTTAGCGAGAGTGTCCGCTTCCTGGTTTGATTCTCGCCAGGTATGCTTCCGTGAGAGGAGCATATCCCTGCAAAGGTGGTTAATTTCATCAAAAATATGAGCCAAGAACCCGGGGGAGGAGGGGGTGTTATGAGTTTGAAGCCCAGGTGATAACATTCTTTGAATCACCCTCAATGATAATGGATACAATCCTGTGGGGATGAAGAAACTTGAGCCCCTTGAGTAGAGCCGTAGCTTCAGCTTCCATTGAGTCGGCATGACCAATGTTTTTGGAAATAGAGGCGATAGTACCAGGGTGGTTCCTGAGTATAGCGCTGATACCCACACGTCCGGGGTTTCCCAAAGAGCAGCCATCAAAATTAAGCTTGAGTTGGCCCTGATTGGGTGGTCTTTGAAGGGATGCCTGAGGTAGGAGCTTACGACAATGTTCAGCTTGATAAACATTTATTTTTCAATTAGGAATTCACTAATTAATGTGCTGCAAAGATACGTTCTTTTAGGATGGATTGAGGTAATTTTCGGGAAGAAAAATGAAAAAAAAATAAAAAAATACATATGTTGTAAGTGAACAAGTTGCACTGTGAGAGGGTAATGCACCAGCAGAAGCTGGTGGTCTTATTAGGCTCTGGGTACAAGATATTAGATTTGGGTCCAACTTTATTATCCCTCTAAGAGATTAATAAATTATAGAGAAAATAAACATGGGATTAGCACATGTGAGACTTCTAGCCTAAGTTACTTCACAAAAATAATGAACCCGATTAATTATAATTCATTCTATTTCAGGACTCAAGAAAGCCAAATATGCCTCCTTCCTAACATTGTCAGCTTAATGCAATTTGCTACCAGCTAATTGGTTCTTTTTCTGATCAAAGTTCATGCATTTGGAGAATAATATGTCAATGTTGCAACTGTGTGATTGTGATGCAGTCCAGCTACACGGAACAAACTTCATGGCTGACATTCTTCAGAGGTGTTTTCGAGCTTAGTTCGATAAGAAAAATCCATTTCCAATACGGCTCACAATAACGATTTCAATATCAGAGAGTAAAGCTAAGCATACATGAAGCTGGAGTATCATTTCAGGTTTTCTTAGGGCCCCCATCTTATTTTATTTCATTAGGGGCAAAAATGTCCAGCTTGGACAGATTTTAGGGAAAATATCATTTACCCCTGCACTTATTTCATGGTAACCCCCACCTTTTATCCCTATCTAGCAGCATTAAGAAGTTCACAAATATTTCAGCCCAACCCCTCCAAATGTCCCCGCTATCCTTTTTTATTTTAATCCCTGTTAAGTGCCCCAAACTAATTCTTAAATGACACTCAAAGTCATTTCTCTCTTATTTATCACAACTCTTAAACCCAATGTCGTATGTTGGTGAATCACAAAAGGACATGAATCACCACCAGTGTACTCCATGCTACAATTTGTGCTAGTAGGAAGAGAGAGAAGAGGGGTACAAAGGATTAGGTTTATGGGTTTTGAGAAATAAGAAATAAATATGAAAGAGAGAGAAAGGATGCAAGTGTCATTTGAGAATTAGTTCGTAGCAAAGGACGGAAGGGACATTTGGAGGCATTGGAATGAATTTTTTTTTTTTTGCTTTTTGAGAATTGTTAACTTAGGAATGAAATATTTATAAGCTTCTTAATGCCGCTTGATAGGGATAAATGATAGGGGGTTGTCATGAAATAAGTGAGATTTTTAGGGACCATGACAATATTTTCCTGAGATTTAAATAAGAAATTTTAATTACATTAGAATCAAAGTTAGAGCGTCTAAATAAAGTCTATAAATAGGGGTTGTAATAGGGTCTTTCATTCAGAACTGATTGTTGTTTAATAACATTGTTCTTTGGAATTCCAGAGATATTGTTGAGCCATTAAAGCTAGGCTTGTTAGCTTCCCCTTTTATTCAATCGATTATTAGAATCTTTGAGTCTTTCCTTTTGTTTGTTCAAAGTTGCAACATCCGGAATCAGAGTAGGTCATTTTGGCCCTAGCACGACGACATGCTGCAAGTTTCCAAGATGGATGCTAGAGGATGTGGTGGTCATTACGAGGTGGTGGATCTGAACGTAAGTAGGATGAATTTGATGATCCAATGAGGAGAATGAGGAATTGGAGCATGAGTTGCGACACAGCCGTTTGAACCAGATTTCATCATTCATAACAGTGATGGGTCCAATGCCGAGAAGGTGAACCCGTTCCACAACCAGGGGAGATAAAGTCCCATATTAGAGGATCGTTTGGTTCGAACTTTAAAAGGGTCGGATCCAAGAATTCAGATTGGTGTGCATGACTTTCCATAGCTTTGAAATAGTATGTGATGACTCCCATTCTCTTGATCTGATTGGAAAGCTAGTACTGAGACTCCTTTAAGAATTCTTAGAAGAGAAGAAGATAAAATTTGTGGCTACTTGGTCGAAGGGCCATGCCCTAATTTGGTGGCAACAATTGCAAGGAAGTTGAGTTTGAAAAGTAAAAGATAAAATTGTGACTTGGAAGAAGATAAAGTCATGCTGGAAGGCAAAATTTCTTCCCTCAAATTATAGGGTTTAGGCAATTTGAGCTCCACCAAGCATAAGACTTAGTACGAGCACACTGTTTGAGGTTATTCTGGCTCAACAGGTGCCAGGACAAAGCAACAAAAACTGAAGGGTAGAAATTTTGGTCAAATGTACGTGCTTATCGGAAGAAGAGGCTGGCTAGGAGAAGGATGAGACGCTGTGGGAGTACGAGGGTTTGATCCCCAATGAGGAGGTTGGGAACTCATGGTGGGGGAGGCTTGTCACACTACCAACTTGGTGCATGCGTGCCGAGAACTCATGGTGGGGCAGGCTTTTAAAACACCAACTTGGTGCATGCGTGCTGACTAAGGACTTCGTCCCTGAACCTCCCTTGGCCCAAGCAATAGGCGAAGGAATGGCTCACAAGTCCTGCAAGAACTTGTGCCACTTGGCTATATAGAAGCATCAATCTTGGTTCGAGTTCTTTGGGCCAACACACCTCTAAGAGGGAGGTACTAATGCCTTGGACCAACCTACCGATCATGGCAGAAACGGGCTGGTGAGGGGAGTGGTGCTTGGACGCACAGGCCTCCACACTCACATATGTGCACAGGAAGAGCTGCATTCAGAGTGTGGGCTGGAATGGTTTCTTTGGCACCCCTTGTCTACAGTTGGCAGCCAGGTGTCCTTTGTATTTGAATTTCAAATTCTGTAACCTGGGGTCTATTTAAACCCCAGGTCCCAACCCTTGGTGGGAAGTTTTTGGGAGTATACTTCTAATTGTATGGTGAGCAATAATGCTTGATTACAGCCCTTGAACCCCTTGTGTTCCTTGTGTGAGTAGTGCTTGTGAGTGGTGTGTTGCATTGGTGGAGATGAAATATTATTGGCCGAGGCTCAAGAGAGATGTCAGTCAATATGTAGAGCGATGCAAAGTATGTCAGCTAGCCAAAGCACGGTCATAAAATACTGGCTCCTCATGGATTTCGTGGTGGGACTTCCTCGCATTGCCTGAGGCTGGAACTTTATATTTCTAGTGGTCGATCACTGCTTGAAAATGACATAATTTATTCCTGGTAAGAACTCTCTTGATACCACACAACGCAGCTGATTTGTTCTTCAAAGAGGTCGTTTGTCTTCATGGTGTTCCTAGAACCATTACTTCTGATAGAGACACCCGGATTTAGTATACTAGCATTTATCATCATCCATAGATTGGTGGTTAGACAGAGGTTGTTAAGAAAAGCTTGCGAAGTGTTGCAGAAGACAAGCCTTCAAAGTGGGATTAGATTGTGCCACAAATTGAAGATTGTGTCACAAATTGAATTTGTCTATAATCCATAGGACAATCACCATTTGAGATAATGTATGGACAGTAGCTGAATAAGGTGCTAGATTTGGGACCGCCACATGAGAAAAAGCAAGTGATGATGCTGAAGCCCTACCCAAGCATCTTCAGGAAGTTCATCAGTACATTCGAGAAAAGTTTCAAGAAACTAGTAGTATAAGGCCGACGCTGATCAGCACCGAAGCCATGAAGAGTTTAATGAAGCTGATTTAATGATGGTGTATCTTAGGTGATAACGCTTTCCTGGTGGCAAATATCATGAACTCAAATACAAGAAGATTGAATCATGTCACGTGCTACAAAAGATTGGCAATAAAGCATATAAGATTGAGCTTCTAGAGGGACACGGGATATCTCTTAACATCTCTGATCTATATGAGTATCATGGAGATTTTGTTGATGCAAGGCTACTGAATGGATGATGCAAATACCTAAGCCAGTTGCTGATCAGATCCAAAAGGTTTTTGACATTTGGGCCATTACTAGCAGTCACGGTTCCTATAGTCAATATTTGGTCCAAGGAAAGGCAAGCCTAAGTTGAGGAAGTTTTGGATTTTAGAGGACCTAATGAAGATTGATCTGGAAGCATTGACGAAGTTCACGGATGATAAGAATTCAAAGGAGAGTTCTCCCTAACCAGGGGAAACTAGTGCGGTCTGGCTGTTAATTTTATAAATTTGTGTTTCAAAGTGATATGTTATTAGAGAAATTATTTTGGACCATTTTGTTGAATGTTAGTCATGTGACTATTTTAGATATATATTCACAATATGGTCATTTAATTATAAGGACTTCCAGTACAATGTAGACACCAAGGTACAAATCAAGGTTTAACTTTTTCTCACCTACTTTTTATGCTTGACTTGGGAAGTTATGATACTTGCTACACTAATTATTTTGAGAAGACATGTGATGGATGTCAATGTGTGACATCTTACAACTGCTTAAACACATGTGATGTCATGTCTCCCCCATCTTCATACATCTAGATTATCCCTTCATCTCTCTCTTCCTTGGGTTACTCAATCTCTGTCCCTCATTTATATATGTTCTCTCTTTCATAATATTAAGTTTTCTCTTTCTATTTAAAGTACCATGTTTATGATTTCATGAGCACAGTGAATTAAATGATGTGCATGCAATGGTTGATGCACCCATACACAACTTCATTTCATCATCAAATGTGTCTCTTTCCTTTTACATAGCTCCCTGTTTTACAGTTTATCAGATACCAGTTCCACTTACAAGGGCAATTTTATTTATCTGATTTGATGGAGTTAAAGAAAATCATCTCTTTGTTTCACTATCGTCTAGACATACATGTTTCTGTACTCTAATATTTATTCAAATCGATGCTTGTTGTATTACTGGCAATTGGAAGATGAATCAGATTTGTAGCTGTGGTTTTAGATAAGTTTTTGAGTGTGCAAATTATTAACTCGAGAGTTGTGTAACTATCTAGCTGTATCCTGGATTATGTTGACTCTTGACCCAATATTATCTTGGTTCTCATACCAAGCGGGGGGAGTTCAATACTTCAAAGAGTGCAAGACCATCCTGTGCGTCCATGTTCCTAATAAATTTCTGTTCGAAGAGGAGACTGCTGAACTTTAGTTTCACACGGATCAAGAAAATTCAACACCAACTACTTGCAACAAACTTCAGGGCTGAATATGTTTAAGCCCTCAAAGGTGTTTTTCAGTTTGGTTTGCTTAGCAAAATCCAATGATAACATTGAGTTACACTGCCATTTCCTGAATGGTCATAATACGATTTCAACATCGGAGCACAAATTTACACCTAAAAGAAGTCGGAGTATCATTTCAGGGTTTTCTTAGGATGAATCTGTCTTATTTTATTTCACCAAGATTAAAGTGTCAAGTTTAGTACATCAGAATTAGAGTCAGGGAATCCAAATAAAGACCTATATATAGGGGTTGTAATAGGGTTTTTCATTCAGAATTGATTATTGTTTAAAACCTTTGTCGTTTGGAATTCCAGTGAATTTGTAGTCATTGAAGCTAGGTTTGTTAGCTTCCCCTTTTATTTTGAATCAATTATCAGAAATTCAGAATCATTTCAGTCATTCTTTTTGTTTGTTCGAATTGGCATCAAAGCTACAACTAGATTTAAGGGAAATTTTCCTCTAACAGGTCTTACTGCATTCAAAAGAATTGTAAATTTAAAGGGCCTTCACCTCTTTGAAGTGCCCACTCAACATGTGACACACAGTGATGTTGCATCTCATATTATCATCACCAAACATTGCTGAGCTATACAAATTGTTTTTTATTTAGTTAAGTCTAATCATGCATTTTAAAATAGTGAATTTGACGACACTAAAGTCTCAGTCAAGATATGCACCAGTCGAAGTTCATTGTGAAACCCATGTTAGTTTCCCTTTTATTTAACTAGTGTTTCAATTTGCGAATGTGCATTACAATTGTTAACTTACAAAATGCTTATAATTTGTCTAGCTCAACTTTTTACAAAATACTATGAAAGATTATTCATTCAATCCTCATGCTGTCAATTTGTCATACAGTAACATACAAAGTTTCCTAATAAAAGAACAGTAACAGTCTGAGCAAACAAACCGATGTAGCACCTATATGTATTGTATACACTTTCCAACTATATAACTTACAACAATGTGATTTAAAGCATCAAGTGCCTCATTTTCCAAGGGTTGCATCACTTGAAGCCCCAAGGTAAGGGCTTGGCATTTCACCCCATCCATCTGATTGTCTGCATAGGCCCGCTCCCAAACGTAAAACTTTATTAAAAAGTGGCTCTAGGAGAGACATATTTGCGTCTTCACTGTTATTGAGTGTCAGTTTTCACCAATGTCTTGTCCATAAGCACCTATTTCATATTTCATCCTATGCATCATCAACGTCAAAGCCTTTTCCCTACTAATTAGGGTCCGCTATACGAATCGTGCTCCGCCATTCTGCTCTATTAAGGGTTATACCCTGAGTCAGGTCATATATCCCCATATCTTTTATCACTACTTCCAACTATGTCCTTTTGGGCCTATCCCTTGCCCTTTTTGCCTTCCATTTAAACTAACTCACACCTCTCAACAGGTGTTGTACTGGGTTTGTGCCACACATGGCCAGCCCACCTATGTCTACTCTCTCTCATCTTATCACCTATTGGTGCCACACCTAAATTTTCTCAAATGTGTTTATTTGGAATTATATCCCTTCTTGTCTTGCCACTCATTTATCTCAACATCATCATCTCCGCTACACTCATTCTATGGGTATATTGTTTTTTGACCGCCCAACATTCAACCCAATAGAATAAAGTTGGTCTCACAACTGTCCTCTAGAACTTGTCCTTCAGCTTCATTGGTATGTGGCAATCACATAAAATTATGGCTGCTCATCTCCACTTCGCTTACTTAGCTCTAATTCTATGTGTGACATCTTTCTCAATCTCTTTATTTTCCCAGATTCTCGACCCAAGATATCGAAATGCGTTCTTTTCCTGGACGACAATTTTAACTACTTCTTTGTCTCTATTCCTATTATTACTAAACTTGCATTCCATATCCTCTGTCTTTGTCCGGCTAATTTTAAACCCTTTAGATTCTAGAGCATCCCTCTAAAATTCTAACTTTGTGTTGATGTTGTTCAGGTCTCATGATTAAAACTATGTCATTTGTGAACAACATACACCACGGTACCTCATCTTGTAGGTGTCTAGTTAAGTCATCCATAACTAAGACAAAGAGGGCAAAATGATTACATGAAAAATATTGTATTAAGTCTAGGGCCATTTTGGTCATTAAAAATAAGTGTTTTAGCCAAAATAAAAAAAGTGAGAAAAGTAAACTTTTGAAAAAAGATTTCATCCTATGCAATAGGGGCCAAATACAATGTGTGCCTCCTTATGAAGCACATGCATACTCTTGTACTGCACTTTAGCATCTTAAACGACAATTTTTGTAGCAACTTTTCCACACCAACACTAGTTAGTGCAAGCAGATATGATGCTTAGTGTACAATCTAAATAATACAATAAGCACTGTAAACAATGTGTAAATCAACAACCGCATTATTTAGATCTTATTTAAATCTGTAAGTTTCACGTGTTCCAAATATCCAAAAATGAAACCATCCAACTTTGATCTCTCAATAAAGGGGAATAATTTTGGAGATTGCATATAAGTAATGTCTTTGCCTTGCAAGTTTTCTTTAGGCAACCATGCTCTCCCTGCCTCTACAAGCCTGAATTACAGCCTCCAGCCCTGGTTCTAATACAGTAAAAATTCCTACAGGTTCATTACTAAGTTATTTCAATGTTTTTTTCTGTCCTCTCAATATTTTTGCACCATTTCACTGTTTTGACATTCTACAGAAAACATTAGGTTTGAAGGACAAACATCAACAAGTTCAATGAATCACTTCTGTTGACTCCTAAAAGAATCTCCTTCCAGATTCTTTTTAGCTGTTTGTCTATTGTATATTCAGTTGAACTTTCAATTGGCTTATATTAAGCTGCTCGTATTTACCAACAAAAGGTACTCAGAGATCAGGGGGATCAACTCTGGCACCTAAAGTGACCCCCAAGCGATGCAACATGGGGTAGCCTCACCTAAGGCAATCGCTTTTGACAACACATAAAAGCTATGTAATATGGCACGTCATGTCCATAGTTTTGCATGTCAATTTGCGTGTTGACATGCCAAAGACAAGACACCTGCATCAGAGACTTGAGAAAGACAGACACTTCTTGTTGACATTGAACCTCATTACAAAGTAGTTTAATGTCAGCTAAAACCCCATATTCACCTTTTCTGAATGATGTATGGAAATATCTGAATAAGGCCAATTTTGGGATTACTCCTAATCACATCTATATCAGATGCTGATACACGTATCTGTGCCTTTTAAACATAGTCCTGGACAAGTTAAAACATTTTTCATGGATACCATTCATTGCAATCAAAGTATTGAGAGTCGACTTTACTCAAAATTGACATCCTTTCTGTACAGTATAGGAACATTTTAGATGACAAAAGATCTCATGCATGAAATATTATATATTTTCCAATCATGCACAATTGTTTCTAGAAAGTGAACAAGTATTTAATAGCTCTGGAAATTCATATACTAGTCAGATGTCACTAACCTGATCTAGTAAAAGAGCCTTAATCCCGAGCTTCTTTTTATTCAAAGAATTGGCAAATTCATCAGCCGTCATAGGCTCAAGGAGTGCGTCGGGACCTAGCTCAGATATTGGTGGTACAGAGGTAGGCTCCAGGAACATGCAAGGAATCGCAAAAATAATGATAATCAGTCCAAAGTCCATGGATGTCATCATTAACTTAATAATAGTGTTTCTAAGGAATGAGAAATACATCTTGAAGCAATCGCACTCTTGCAAAACGTCTCTTATCAGTGAAAGACAACTCCAAGCCATCATCTAACTGCATGTAACAGAAATATCGTTGATGAGTGATACACAAAGAGATGGAAAATCAGCCATCTATTATATACACGTCCTAAGATATGAAATGCATGCCAACATGAATTAGAGATAAAAGAAATGATTAAAGATAACTAAAATACATTGTAGACTTCACTTCAAAAGACAAATCTTAGATTACTAGATGCATACAGAAACTTCGTCTCAGGATCAGATACGATGTTAAGCAAAACATTTATTTTTACTACTTCATATCACAGGTAACAAAGGTTTTGCCTTAGGAAATGGGCTTGGGTCAAGACGGTAGAGGCTAAGTTTCCAAAGCCCAACGTCTCAAGTTCCATTCCTATGTACCCTTGTCAAAAAAAAAAAAGTTTTGCCTTCCCGAAATCACTACATTCACATCAGATTTTCCTAAATTTCTTGACTGATTCTTTTCTTGTTTCTCCTATATAACTAATTCATATCTTACGGCTGGGTAAGCGCAATAACTGCAGAATTTCCATGGTGTTCAATGGAAAAATACCATCGAGAAGCTATTCAGAACACTGCTCCACTCCCCAATAATATAACAGAGATGGAAGTTGGAAACAGCCTTTGGCATCCTTCCATCACTATTGTACTATTTAAAATAGAGCACCGCAACCACATCATTAGGTTTCCTAATGTGGAGCCAGCAAACAAAGCCTTAATTTAAGAAACATTAATATGGAAAATTTGATCTTATTTGCAATAAGGCATGAAATGCACATAAATGCAAACATAAAAAATATACATATACATACACATATTTGTGTTTGTATCACACATGAGAGAGAGAGAGAGAGAGAGAGAGAGAGAGAGAGAGAGAGAGAGAGAGAGACTACACTAGTGTGTCGTACGTTCTTACCTTAACCCAACCGTAACCAACTACTACTACGTAGTACGAGGTAAGTTAAGTTTAGTTTCGTACTA